CGAATTGATGTTATCTGGATCCCCCCAGTATTTCTCAAACTTAGTCTTCATCTTCTTGGCCATGGTATACAATATAGAATCATTACTTTCACACAAAGAATTCAAGTGTGTRTGRATCTCACAAATCTCATGATAGAAGTTGTTAGAAGTTACATGCAAAGTGGCATTAAATTTTAAAGTAACTTCATAAAAAGTAGAGAGAAATTTAACAAAAGCCGAAACACACTTCCAATCAATACTCTTAGGTGGTCCAACTCTCTTTTTCCCATTCTCATTCTCTAGAAAGTGACTCAAGTACTTATGATCTTCATCCTTATAACTTGCAAAAGCCTTTTCAAATTTAAGTGCCATGTCTAACATCATAAAAGTTGAGTTCCATCTTGTAGGCACATCTAAGACCAAGGGACATCAAACTTAGGTTGCAAGCTTAGAAGAAGCTCTCTAAACCCTTCACCGTCAACAACACTAAAAGGTTGTTCATCTTTCACTACAAACCTAGCCAAGGCATTGCGACATTTTTCTTTATTAAAAGTCACGGCCAACAAATTTCCCACACCATCACTACCGCCTTGAAAACTAAGTACTTTTTGTTTTTTTATCGGTTTCCCTACCCGAATATTTCTTGCATTGTTTTCTTATGTGTGTCCACAAACTAGTTGTGCCAATTTTCTTACTGTCACGGGCATAGTTTTTTCGAAAATAGTTGCAAACACACCTAAGATCATTTGGATTTCCATCATCTACTTTTGCAAAGTGAGCCCAAACATCAGATACTCTACCACCCGACCTTTTTTTTTTATCGATGTTTGGTTCTTTCTTGATCTCTTTATCAATACATATTGGGTTGGGGTAGCATTAACATCCATTGAATTTGAAACTATAAGGATTAAGAAGAAATCGAAAACCTCCCATTATTGATTTACAATGGATACTGGATAATATGTGAGGTACATTAAATAAACTATGAACTCATGTTATAGAATACAGACTGTGTAATTTTTTGTTCCACATGATAAACTCAGGTTACAGTAAAGTAGGATATTAGTTTCTATGTGAATTTCTAGAAAATGACAGAAAACATTACACTTATCAAGAACAGCCAAATTCTGTCGATTAACTGGAAAATGACTAGGGTTAAAAAAACAATGTTTACAACCAAGCCCACTTTCATACTAATTGAGGTTCTAAGTAAGTTGAAAACAGTGAAAGCTGTAAATCGAAGCTATGTAAATCGATAAGAAAGCTGTGTAAAACTGTAAATCGAAGGTTGTGTTGTGTTACCTTATCTGTGTAAATCGAAGGCTGTCAATCGAAGATTTTGTGTGCCTTCGTTCAATCGTTCTTTATTAGGCGATGATATGTGAAGGCCAATGTCAATCGAAGGCTGTCAATCGATGTATCGAAGGCTCGCTGTCCAACCCGATTGCTGTTCAATCTGTGTAAATCAGGCGATGTTCGTTGTGTCGCAAGTCGCAACTCACACACAACTCGAATCGATGTGTTGCTCTCGCAGTCTCGCTCGTTGGCGCTGCTACTGGACTCGTGTTGTGTTTGATTTGAGTTTAGGAAGGAGCAGCTAGGTTAAACAAGAGGGTTCCCGTTGTCTTTGAAGCTGCTTGCTACTCCTGTTGTACAATAGGTCAATACTCAATACAGTCAATAGCCGTGTGTTTTGTTGCTTCCAATCAGGTTGTCGGGTTTGGTCGGTAACTTTTGGGCCTGACCTGATTTCAACCCAATAGATTCGGGTTAGTTAATTTTTTAATCAATCATCCATCGGGTTACCTCGGGTTAGTTTTTTTTTTAAATTCAGGTTGGGTTGATCGGATTCATCGGGTTTTTGAGCACCCCTAGGGTAGGGACTCCAATCCCCATCCCTGATCCCAATTTATGTCCCCATCCCCATCCCCATCGGAGAATATGATCACATCCCCATCCCCTTCCCCAATGGGGAATCGAGAATTTTCCCCCTGTAATATAATATATTTTAAATTAAATGTGTTAAAAACCACACTCGATCAATTATAGTCCATATTTAAATCGTACATATTTTCAAAATTTGCTTTTGTAGAGTATTAAATATCCATATGTGAACAAAATTACAACATACGTAATTGTTAGATCAAATATTTTTGGCTTTCTATGTTTTTTATCAAAGAAAAGTGAAACAACTCCAAAAAATTGTATAGAAGAAATGTCAAAAACTATTTCTAAATTTAAAAGATACTAAATCTAATTCTTTATAATTAGAGGGTGTTCGGGATTGCTTATTTAAAACAACTTATGATTTTCTATAAAAGCATTTATCAACTTATTATAAGTCAGAAGGGTTTAAGTTATTCAAAAACTTATTACTACCAGTTTGACACTGGTATAAGTTGCTTATCCAAACTCAAAAGTGCTTATTACTGGTGCCACACCGTGATAAGTCAATAAGTTGTTTTTATAAGCAATTCCAAACACCCCCTTAATATGTTTAATAATAAATATACATATTATATTTAATATTCAGGGACAAGACAGAGCGAAGACCACGTTACCCGCCCCGTCCCCATCTCCGCTCCCGGTTTTGAGGGGAATCCCATCCCCATTAGGACAGGTACACCACGTTTCCCAATATGACGGGTATCGTTCATGTGCCTCATACTCTATTCTCTAGTTTTTTAATAATTCAGCTCGGGATATCTACATTTCTTATGTTTAGCCCACATTTTTGCACTTAAAATAAAATAAAATTACCAACTCAAGATCAAAAATTAATTAAAACAAGTGTAATATTTTTTCTCAAATGGAAGTTTTTGAATAAAAATTGATGCAAAAATCCTTACGAAATTGAAAATTTTAATCAGAAAGTTATTTGAGTAAAAAATTTAAAACCCAAGCAACAAGATTCATCGTGTATAATACTAGTTGATGTAACGGTGGGATGCATTTCAATTCTGAAGCCGAGTACTTAAATTTTCGATCTTACTTTCTACTTTGTTTTATTTTTCGTCCATTTTTATTTTATTTCTATGGTGCAGATCATCTCATATAAAAAATTCAAGGTTAATACCTTAATATGATCGACTATTGGCCGAAGATTTGGAAAGAGAATCACAGTATTACAAGGCTCGAAGTTTATCATGTCGTATTAATAAGACTTAACAATACTTATCATATATCTGAATATGTTTATAAGTTGGTTAGAGTAAATGTGGATTTTTAAGAAGTTGTAAATATACATTTATAAGTTATTAGAAGGATACTCGTACAATGTATCAATACACTTCTCGATTTCAATGTTTCATTTTATTTTTTTATCTATGTCGATATAATATAGTTTTATGTGGTTTTGAGAAAGTGATAATTCCTTTATTTTTGAATAAGATATAAATTTGAAAATATCATAATTTTTTTTTAAAAATATATCAATATTAGTATCAAATTAACTAATTTAAAAGTTTTAATTTTTTGTAATTTTTTTAATTCAAATTTTTTGTTATAATTTAATTTAATGTAACGAAGTAATTTAATTTAGGTTTAATAATATATTTTTTTAAAGATAATAATTAAGTATTATGTTAGAACTCAATGATTATTCTAATTATATTTATGATTTTTTATATTTAGAATGAGATGTTTATCTTGTATTTGATTATGTTTATCCGTAGTTAGTTACACGAATTCAAAAATAGAGCTTTAATAAGTTATACTTACACACAATTTACTTGTAATCTTGAATATTAAGTAATATGTATTAATAAACAGTACTTCGTGCATAAAAAATAGTTTTTAAAAGTTTTTGTCAAATTCTTTATAATATAGTATAGATATGTTTGAATTTTAAGATATTTAAGAATCTGAATAGTTTCTCTATGTGATCGATTAACACATTTTGTATATCAAAGTGAACTTTCTTTATCCTTGATTTATTAATACCAAACACAAAATTGTTGGAATTGACCATAAATTATCATCCACCGCATTGGTGGCACTTGTCTCGCAAGTTCAATTGGTCTATTAAAAGTGACTATGATGCTATGTAAAGTAATCCATGTGGTCATTATGTCATGTGCTTTTTTTTTTTTCCAAAAACAAAAGCACTAATCATTAATCGAGTAAGGGGTCGTTTACTAAACATTTACTTGTTAAGTGCTTAATGCACAAATTTTCCTCATCGGATGAACATGAGAAGGGCCAAGAATCTTACCGGATAAGAGCGATGAGAATGATGGAGAGTCTTACCCGGTAAGTGATGATGACTGATTTTTACCCAGGTAAGCGCTTACCTAGTAAATTGTTGTATTCGATATGTTTTGATGTACTAAAATCTTACGCATCTAAATAAATTATAGTGTTGACTCCTATTGGTTAGCGCTTACTGGATAAGCATTTGGGTAAACGGCCCCTAAGAGTGTGGCCCGAGTAAACACTAATCATAGACCAAGTAAGAGTCCGTCTGTTAGCTTATCGATCAACATCATGGATCTGTAAGAGGAGATACATAAACAACAACTCTGATAGGATAACGGCCTCTTATCTCATAAAAGACGATAAGCACTTAGTAACTAACTCTTAAGCCTAGCTTACGACTGTTGTTTTAAGTTCAAAATTAAGTGTTCAATTAACATCATTTTTATGACCGATCCCAATTCTCAGTTCTAACTACTTTAACAAGTTAATATTCGTATTTATGTTTTTATTTTAACTGATTTACCGATTAAACTGTAGTAGCAGTTTTTAAGGTAAAATAGAGGGTTAGTAATCGTGATATACACTTTTATTTGGCATGATTAGGCATATATGTGTATATAACTTGCCTAAATTATGGAAAAGCGATGTTGGATAATGATGTTGAACGGTCATGGATTCTACATCACATTTGAGTACATCCCACAAGATAATTATTTATTATCATAAAAAGATTGAAAATAAAAACGAAAGCATATCTTGTCTTATTTCATATCGTGTCTCGAAGAAAAAAGAGTAAAACTTGTATGATATGATCGAATGCGATATTGGCATCAAAGAGATTTTATTCATATTTAACGAAGCTAATTACAAAGGCAAGTATATGGGTGCGATAATTTCTTTTAATTAACTTGTATATCTGTAGATCGAACACTCATTTCTTTAATGTCTTTGATCAAACGATCCAAATTACGATAGGAAGATCCACCTTTGCTCACGCATTCCCTTGCTAGTTTCGCCATACGATTGGCTGATTTTGTGAAATCCTCAATCTTAACATCCATTACTTCTTTTATCATCTTTGCAATTATCGTTTTATCGCATGTATCCTTCATGTCTAACCCTAGCTTCCACACGGCTTCAACGAATCTACTATTTATTTGTTGATCTGCAAAAAACGGCCAACTCACCATCGGTACTCCTTCAACTATACTCTCCAAGGTGGAGTTCCAGCCGTTATGAGTCAAAAATGCACTTATAGCAGGGTGGGCTAGCACCTCTTGTTGCGGAACCCACCCCACTATGTACCCTCTCTCTCTTGTCACGTCCTTCACTTCACTTGGTACTTTATTATCACCACCATGGTTCAAAAGAAGATCCTCTCGAATGACCCACAAAAACCGTTTCCCACTATTGACTAAGCCATGCCAGAACTCAATGAGTTGCTCCCTTGTTAGTGTCGTTATGCTTCCGAAACTGACGTACAATACGGATTTGGGTGATTGTTGATCAAGCCAACCGATACATGTCTTATCTTCTTCGAACAAATTGTTTGAAGATGTCGACTTCAAATGAGCATGAAGTGGTCCAATCGTGTAGATGTTGGGACAATATTTCCGTATCTCTGAGAGAATAGGCCCTTCAAGCTCATCAAAGGTGTTAAGAATGAGCGCATGACTCTCTTGCGTTCGACGTGTTACATTGGCGATCTGTTGCAAGGTCACATTATTTACATCGGAACGGAAAAAGCTCGGAAGATCACGTTGGCGAAGAAATCCTTCCATGCCTTTCACATTGACTATTTGTTTATCCATGTCCGTACCTTACAAAAGTCAGATATCTTATCAAACGCTAAGCAATTGACTTGAATTTAACCATATACGTAATTTCATTTTGCATTAAATGTTTAATTGACGTCATTTGAATTAAATACATGCAGGTTATGTAATTATGTTATATATGAAAATATTTAGATAAATTAAAGCTTTAAAAATAACTTAATAAATTTTAGGCATATATATAAATTTCAAGTTTACAAATAATTATTAAATATATATAAATTGTTAAAACTTTTTAAATTGCTCGTAAACATTTACATTAAGATACGGAATAATCATTAAGATATAACAAAATATTTCCTTATAATTTTCTAATAATTAATAAGCACCTCTTCAATCACCACTTGTAATCTCTATTTTGTTTACCTATGAATTTTAAATTCGAGATCCATTCGAGGAACATGGAGACTAATTGAACTAATGTTACATGTTTGACATGACTTTTATATAAAATTTACAGGAACAAAGTGGAACAAGCCTGTCCACCCCTATCCCATGAAACATGGTATAACAGATTTATATTTTACCAATATAACCTCAAAGTAAAACATAATTCTCTTCTAAAACATCAAACAAATCTTTTTTTACATTTTATTCATTCTTTAAATTTTATTTATTGTATTTTATGTTTCTTAAACTTTCATTTTACTGTCTTCAAAATACTACTTTATTCAGTTTCTATATTTTTATTAATTTATTATATATTAATAATAAAAAATAATGTAGAAAAAATATAAAAATAAAAATTAGAAACTACATAAACTTTTTATTTTTGTGTCATTTTAATTGTTTTGACGAAAACTTTCTAATGATATATTTTATTATAAAAAATAATTATTCTATTATAGTTTAATAAATTATATAAATTAATTAAATAAACAACTCATCATCGTTAGGAATAAATTAATCATTTTACTTGCTCTATTGTATATAATATTTAAACAGTTGTTTTATCATGTCCTACATTTTAATGATTATCCTTTAATTTAATAGTTCTTTTTTACTTTTTGAAAATTTTCATATCTTTTCTAATAAGAATAAACTTTATTTTTTCATTATTTAATTTTGAAAATTTGTACGCTTCTTGTAAAGACAAAGTAGAATTATAAACCAAAATCTAATGCTATTGCTATAATTTTTAGTTGTTATAGAATTATATGAATTTTTGTTAAAATAATTGTAAGAGGTTATCTGTAACATTTTTACTTAACTTACTGGATAAGATTTTTTAGTTCATTAAAACAATATATATACAACATTTTTATCAGATAAACATTTATTAGATAAGAGTAAGATTTTCGGTCATTGTCATCGTTCTTACCAGGTAAAATTCTCGATCCTTATTATGTTCGTCGTCCCGTAAAATAAAGTGAAGAGGTAAACACTTAACGGATAAGTGATTAGTAGACGGGACTAAGTAAAAAATATTGGAGTTAATACCTTGAAAAGGAATGTCGCCGGAGGTTACGAGATCCGGGATGCAAAAGTAAGCCCAGAAAGCACAAGCACTAACAGTACGGAAGAAAAATACAGGAACTCCGGTACCCTTTGCAGCGTCAAGTGGAAAGGCCATAATTCCATCGGCGATCAGACAAGCCACCGGAGAATCAAGAAGCATGTTTCTGAGCAAAGGTGTAGTTACTTTTGACAAAGAATCAAACAAAATCGTGAGCTTGTCACCGGTGTCGACGGGGCCTTCGTAGAGGCCGTGGATGACGTGGAAGCGGAAACCTGAGTAGGAGTTGAGGTGGCCGTGGACGGTGGTGTAGCGGAAGAGGCGGTCGTGGTCCTTGGCGGATATTAAGAAGGTGATGTGGAGACCGGCGGTGAGGAGGAGCTCCGTCAGTTTTAACATGGAGTTGACGTGGCCTTGCATCGGTAACGGAAAGATAAGAACGTGCGGTGAGGACGGTGGTTTTGTGTCCATGAATACGAGCACCGAGTAGTGAAATCAGAGTGAACACTGAGCAGTATCTTGGAGTTTATGGATGCGGTATCTTCATCCATTTCTATATAATATCTTATAGATAAATCACGTTTTTGGGATTTTTTTTCAAACAAATACCACCCCATCATCAAATAGTAAGACTCTAAAAGGTTGATTACGGTTATTGAATGATTTAGTACATAATGATTAAGTGGTTTGAATGATTAATAGGCTCTTATGATATAGTACAAAATGAAAAATAATTATTTGATAATTACTTACAACGAAATTAGGGCGTTGAATGGTTTAGAGAGACCCGAAATACAAAATCGTTGAGAGAGTTTTAGAACCATTAATAGGCAGATTTTTTTTTTTTGCCAAACTAGATTTACCTCTTAATGATTCAGAAGATGTCACTTAATAAAACTATTAAAAGGTAAACAAACAACCCCTGATACAGACCATAAGATTGCTTTTGGAGTTTATGGATTAGGTACTTTCATCCATTTATGCAGTAATACTTCATAGATAAATCACCTTTTTGGGATTTCTTTTAGCAAATTCAATGAAATAGCCAATCAGTAAACAATAGGACTATAAATTTGTTCGGTGAGAAGTTTGTTACTTAATAAATGAACGAAACGTAAGCTCATTTTTGTTCGTTTAGTTAAATAAAAGAAAACGAACAATGGTCATGTTCGTTTATTACGTTCATTTATGTTTATTAACGTTCATTCGTTTGCATTTGTTTATATACAAGTATATTTATATATTATGACATTAATATATGAAATCATTAATTAAATTATTTTTTTTATCTCTCCTATTTAATCGGTTTTTCATTTTGTTATGTTATTTTTTTAGGAACAACTGGATATCCAACCCGTTATGTGAGTCGACTAATATCAGGACGACCACCTGCTTTGCAAATAGCCTGGAGTCACCGCATTTGAACCTCCGTGACCACAAGTGGATTTTTATTTCTTTTTGGATTTGAACCTGAGACCTCTTGGTACTTTTGACATTGGAGCCAAACTCAAACCAATCAGGCACCACCCTTGTGGTTGTGTACTTGTGTATGTTCATTTGTTATCGTTTGTTTACCATCTTAATGAACGAACACGGACAAACCCATTTTCTTAAATTAAACAAACTAACACAAACAAGCCTCCGGTCATGTTCATTTATAGTCCTAGTAAATAGGGTTTCACTTTTTAGCAATTTGTGTAAGGTTTAAAAAATAGGGTTACAAAAAAAAGAATTCTTACACATATATGTAAGGTTTCTATGCGTAAAGTTTATACACAAATTCAGAATCCTTATGCATATGCGTAATAAAAAATAAAATCACCTGTCAATTTTATATGTCTTCAAATATCTTGTTTTTCCTCCAAAATACATAAAAGTTGTTTGTCATTGAATAAAAAAGTATTAATAAAAACCGTAAATATTTAACGTCAACAGGCCATATATCACCAGAAAAAGGACGGTAGTACAACTAAAAAAAGGATAATCGTATAATGTAGAGATATATATTTTATTTTATTTTTTATTGTCGATATAATATGATTTTTTATGATTTTGAGAAAATAATAATGTTTTTATTTTTGAATAAAATATAAATTTAAAAATATCATAANATAGTTGATATTTTTGTTTATTTTATTTGTTATTAAATAAACAAAAATAATAAACTAATACCAAACCTTAAAGTTATCTATAATTAAATTTATAATTAATAATGAAGTAATTTATTTTTGATTTAATAATATAATTCTTTATAAAGATAAAAATTAAGTATTTTGTTATAAGTCAAATTTTTATCCTAATCACATTTTAGAGTTTTTATATTTAACATGAGATGTTTATCTTGTATTTGATTTATGTTTATTTAGAGTTACTTACACGAATTAAAAAAATATATAACTTTAATAAGTTGTACTTATGTACAATTTACTTGTAATCTTGAATTTTAAGTAATATGCATTAGTAGACAATACTTCATGTATAAAAATGGTCTTTAAAAGTTTTTGTTAAATGCTTTATAATATAATTATAAATATCGTTTAATTAATTATAATCTATTATAAATGAATTTGATGTTTTTCTATTATAAATGTGGGAGGAAATGAAAGAAATTATAACTGCTATTAAAATTAAAAAACTACCTAAACTTTCATTATGAAGGATACTTTTTTAAGTATATATTTGTAAAAATGACATTTTCTTTTCTTTTCTTTCCTTCCTGTTCGATAACATGAGAAATTATTTTTCTTTCCTTTTGGGAGATCGTGGAATTGATTTGAACTCGGTTGTTTGTCCAATTTGTAATTATTTGCAGGAAACTTTGTATCATTGTCTTGTGGGTTGCAAGTGTGTAACGGAAGTATGAGAAAGGATTCAGAAACGATGGGGCGTTTGAGTCCATCTTGGGCAACACAACAGGTATCATCCTCAATCACACCGGTCGCACTTCGATTTCAGGTCCATTCTCAAGGTTTTGGCAAGCAACGATTTGAGCAACAACCTATTTGATATATGGGGTCACTCTAACAACTTGGTCTACCGAAACAAGTCGAATTCTATGGAGGTTTTTTTTCCGATATATAGGTTTGTGTATATGATTGGATCTCGAAGCGTTCCTGTAAGGATTTCATTCCTTGTGACAGTTGGCTCACCACTTCGCTGCAAAATCCTAGTTGAGCCTCTCGTTCCTCTCGAGTTACTCGTTATTCAGTTGTTGGCTTTTGTTTGCTTTTTTAGGTTGGGTCTGTTTTTATTTACCATATGATCTTGGTACTTCTGGCTCTCCTAATTATGTGACTTTTGTCGCTCTTCTTAATATATTTTGTTGTGTTTTAAAAAAAGAATGACAACATGAGATGGTAGGTGCTGCCTTTTCCAACCTCTCTTTTGTTTCTCGGTTGTTTTTCTCTTGTCTGGGAGGGTCTTTGGTTTGGTATTGTTTTGTTTCTTCTTATTTCATCTTGTCTTTCAATAAAAATGTATGGACCCAAATGAATCTATTTTTCAATTTTAATTCTTAAAATTTATTAATATAATATACGTAAAACTTTTAACAATGGATAAAGAAAATGTATGGATCCAAATGAATGTAGACACACAGATCATATAGGGCTTTCTTTGAGATTCATGGTCTTACTGTACAGACATAACATTTGTTAAACAATTTATGAAATAATCTTAGTTGTGCTTTTCAACTACTAGAAGAGTACTCGTGCAATGCAACGAGACACATATGAATTTTAATGTTCTATTTTTTTATTTGTCTCTGTCGATGTTATAATACGATTTTATGCCTTTAAAAAAAATAATGATGATGATTTTATTTTTAAATAAAATATAAATTTGAAAAAAATATATATCAATGTTAATATCAAATCAA